GACTGACCGAAGGCCGCCACGGGTTCCATGTCCACCAGTTTGGAGATAACACACAAGGTGAGTGTGTGCCTTGGTGACCCCTCCTCGTGTTTAACCCAGCAGGAGCAGCAGGCCTGAGCCGAGTGCACCCGTAGCAACAGGAACACTCATCCTTGGTGTGTGTGTGGTAATTGATACACAAGTCAACTTTTAAGATCAGCCCCCTTGGGCCCAGTGCGGTAGCCTACAGCTAAAGTCGGCTCCTTGCATGCGCTGGGATCCCACGTGGGCACTAGTTCTAGTTCCGGTAGCCCCACTTCCTATCCAGCTCCCTACTTGTGGCCTGGGAAATTTGTGGAGGACGGCCCAGAGCCTTGGGACCCTGCACCCGTATGAGGGAACCGGAAGTTCCTGGCTCCTGGCTCCTGGCTCCGGATCAGCTCAGCTCTATCTGTTGCGGCCATTTGGGGAGTGAATCAGAGAATGAAGATCTTTTACTTGTCTCTTCTTTCTAAATCTGACTTTCCAAAAAAATAAGTAAGTCTTTAAAAAGCTCAGCCCCAGGCATCTTCAGCTTCTGCATCATGGGAAGGGAAAGGAGTTGTTTGTGTCCTGAGGTGGTTAAGCTGTACTTACATTTTGTGATGAGCTCTTTTTAGTGTTTTTATTTTCACACAATGCAGTGAAAAACAAAACCAAAGATGACAAAAATCCTCCCCTCCCCCAGTCCTGGGGGTTTGAAGCTGGCTGGCTGCTTCAGGGGCATTCTGAGTGGCAGCTGCACACCTCGGCGTGTGGCCTGGGTGGGACAGGCAGCCTGGTGTGCCGCTGGGCGCGGGAAGTTTCCCTCTCTGGGGATCCGAAGCAAGTTACCACAGTCAGTGGGCCTTCATCGCCTTCAGTGGCCTTTGCCAGGCGCGAGGAATAGCCTGCAGTCTACACTGACAACTTGATTGACTTTGCTGAAACTTTTCTGTCCCCTCATTTTGTTTCATGGAGTGACTGAGGAGATTTGCTCCGTTTCAGTAATTACGAACCCTCCTATCTTGCTTCTTGGTTTGGGGCCTGCCTGGCCTCCCGCGTGGACCTGAGCTGTGGGTGAACGAGGACTTTGCACTGGCTGCTAAATGAAGCTGTGGCAAGAAAAGACCTGCCCCGTGGGCATGCAGTGCTGGGTCCTGCGTGTGTGGCATCCCCTGGAACACTCGAGTGCCACTTAGAGCAATGTTGTCGTGCCCCCCCGCCCCCAGGCAGGTGGTACGGCAGCCTTGGCGCTTGGCCACACAGGGCAGAGGCTCAGCTGCCTGGGGGCGTGCGGTGCAGTTAAGGCATGCTGCCCAGGGAAGCCTGCAGCTCGGACTGGTCTCTGCGCCCTCCCTGCCTGCCGTGTGTCTGCCAAGGTGCTGCTGCCCACTTTCGTTGGTCCTGAAGTCACAGCGGAAGTTACCGCTCTCTGTGGAGTTGGGCGATGAGGAAAAGTTTGGAATTCTAACCCACTATTTACCTTTTCTTTTATAGGCTGTACCAGTGCAGGCCCTCACTTCAACCCTCTGGCCAAAAAACACGGGGGGCCAAAGGATGAAGAGAGGTGAGCAGGAAGCTGCGTACACGGCGTGGGTGCTCCTGGCCCGTGGCAGGTTGAGATAATGAAGTGGTCACCCACTCCTGCTCTTGAGGGATGCTTCCCACGTGCTCACCTGCCCCAGGTGCTGCAGGAGTTGACAGATGGAGACTCTTGGAACTCGGTGGTTTGTAGCATTTATTGAATACAGAACTGATACAGGTGCCTAGGGGAGCTGATACAGGAAGTCCCGTGAGAACAGTACTGTCAGCCAGCAACAAAACCAACATTCTCAAACAAGCTTTTGCAGATACAAATGTGATCGTGAAAGCTGATGAGAATGCCTTTGTACGTGGATGTCCGAACTCCCTGCAGGAAAGCACTGCAGGACAGGGGTGAATTTGACTTTTGTGGCAGAGGCCTGAGAGATGGAGCGTTTGTAGCTCCACTGGCGCTTCTGAACGCGAGCCAGTGAGTTATCCTTTGGCTCCTGAGCACGAGGGCAGAGGTCCCTTGTGGAACAGAAGCCTTGATGCCTGTGTGGTTTTCTTTGCAACAAAGCAGGTCTTATCTGGTGCTGTGTGTGCTTGTCAGCCCCACCCTCTCACACCTGTACATTAGGTCCTGCGGGGTCCTGATGCCAAGTGGAAGGCAGCCCTAATCTGGTGCTTTTCTAACGGTAGGCATGTGGGCGACCTGGGCAACGTGACTGCTGGCAGCAATGGCGTGGCCGACGTGCTCATCGAGGATTCTGTGATCTCCCTCTCAGGAGAGATGTCTGTCATTGGCCGCACACTGGTGGTGAGTGCGCCTGGGGAGGGCTGGGCCCAGGGTCATGCACCAGTCAGTCCTTTGTCGTGGCAGTACTGGGTTTCCAAGGTCCAGGTGACTTGTCCTGTTCATGTTAGGATATGGTGGAGTGGGAGTCTGAAGTCATTAACACCATGCTGCCAGCACGTGGATCGTACTGGATCATGCTGTATCTGAACGGGAAACAGCTAGTGTTAAAACGGCCCCCTCTTGTTACAAGTTTCTTGTAGTTCAGCAGGACATCTTGCTAGGTCTGCAATCTGGGATGGCTGTTAGGGTTAGTGCTCAACTGTGTCCGCGGGTGGCAGCAGCTCGGTGCGCGGCAGCCGCGGGTGGCAGCCGGGTCCATCCCGCCTGCTCCTGAGGACAGGATCTTGCGGTTGTCATGTCCTTCGGCTCACCTTTTGTTCTTGGAGTTTTTTTCAGCTGTGGTTGTAAAGCAGGAAAGTCACGAATGTTTGAAAAATTTATTCTTGCTAAATAGTTTATTTTTAGGGTTCTTATAGACTCATTAAATTCCGTGGGAATGGAATTTTGATAGGTTGCTTACTTTCATGCTTTTAAAGGCAATTTTAACTCTTCTGTCAAGAGTGACTGTTGTAGTTGGGGTTTTGATGTGGTTGTGGAGGACTAGGACCAGCTCCCTGCAGCCAGAGACTCGGCTGTGGGTTTTCTGGAGTTCTCGGCTTGCAGACGGCGCGCCTGTTGTCAAGGAGGTTCGGAGAGCAGTGCCTGCCTTGACGCTGCTCGTCTCTGTTTACAGACTGCTCTGCCGGTCAGATTCTTCCAGGGCTTATTACAAAGTTCATAAGTCTTTTGTTGAGAGGAAGTGATAATTTCTTGACAGTCCAGTGACGTGTTCTTAATATTATTTAAAGGTACACGAGAAAGAAGACGACTTGGGCAAAGGTGGAAATGATGAAAGTACGAAGACTGGAAACGCCGGGAGTCGCCTGGCCTGTGGCGTGATTGGGATCGCTGCGTGAGCCTTCCTGCCGCGGGGCGTGCGTCCCAGTAGCTCGCTCACCTGTTAGCCTGCTAGTTGTAGAAATGCAGCTTGATGAACATTAAACACTGTAATCTTCAAGTGTGTTTGAGTGATGTGTCTTCAGTACCTCATAATGAGAACAGATTTCTGATTCCTTGCAAGATTTGTCTGGTTTTATAAAGCTCATATTCAGTTAAAGAGTCTGAAGGACCTGTGTGTTGTGGAGGATGCAGCCCCCTTGAGTGTTAGGCTTCCTGAGTGGCACACACTTGGAGCCCATTTAAGAATCCAACTTGAAGATGCAGACTGATCAGTCGGCTCTGACATTCATGTACGGGGAGCAGGGCCAGTCACATTGTCTGCTGGCACTCTTGTCATCTGTTTAGCAGCTGGTCTTTGAGCCAGGAGTAACCCAAAAAATGGACCCGGCTGTCCTTTGAAGCCTATCTGGGTAAGAGCTGACCTAAGGAAATGCTTGGCCACTTAGCATTTGCATTCCTGTGCAAGGATTTGCTTTTATTTTACAAAATAGATGGAAAGCCCTTAGCTGATTCTGGGATCAGTGGAGGCCCAGCTGCAGCTTTTGTCCTGCCTCAGAGGCCCATGTCCTCTTACAAGTTTGCTGCAGGAACCTGCGTGCAACCTGACTGTTCAGGAAACCACTTAGAAGAAAAGCTAAGTTGGATTGTTACTAAAATGCTGAATATACCCACAGTGGTTAAAACCATCGTTCGGATATGGACACATTCGTCATCTGCTGCCTCTGTTATCCCACAACCAGTAGTACTGTCTTCATGTGCACATTTTCTGCAGGATGTGGTGGCTTGGAATTCTTGGGCTCCACATGAGATGTTGCTTGCCAGCAGCAGTTTCAGTTCAGGCTTTCCTGGTTAAGGTTTTCAGCATTTCAGTCCACACACCCCCTCTAAAGGCAGCAGCATACTGCCCTAGGAGACGCCTTCCCCTTGGATGCAGACACGTATCAAAACCCAAGGCAGTAAACCAGCTGGTTGTTTGGCAGTAGGAGTCTGACGACGTCACAGAAGAGCAAGGCCAAGTGCGGGGGACAGCTTGCTGTACAAGCTTGACTGTGCTTTGATGTCCTGAATGTGACACTTCGTAGGCATCTTGATCCTACTTTAACCCCCTGTCTGACTAAAACAGACTCAAATTATCTCCTGGGGCCAGGCAGGACAGTCATTGGTAAAGAAAGGCATTAGGCAAGGCTCCCAGGAAGGTGACATTTAAGTCTTTAAACATTTCAGAATTCAAACCGGTACCCTTGGTTTTTTGCCCTTTAGATTTTATGGGATGGCATAAACAAAATCACCCATTTTATGTATGTAACACCCAGGTGATCATTTAGGGCATGAGGAAGAGATCCAATTCCACACAACCAGTCCGTACTAGCAAGCAATGAGGGCAGCATTTGGTACACAGCCAAGAGGGGAAAAACCTACCTCGGTTGAATGGCCAACACAAGCTTCTCAATGAGCACCAAACACAGAGAACCAACAGCATTACAAATGAGTGTTTTGGGAGTAACTACAACAATACTTGAATCGGGTCAGTCTAGACTCCGACACAGTATTAACAGCTGACTACTGGAAAACAACTGCTTTTCCACATTCAAGCAGTGTAGAAGAATAGCACACATTAAAGTTTGTTACGAAAATAGAGTTTATTAAAAACATCCCTATTGTTTGAGGAGCTTTCACCGTTACCTTGTCTTAAATTAAAAAAAAAAAAATAGAGCACTTCTAATTATGATTTGTAAACTTTTTAAAGTCAAAACTTTTAAAAAGTTACAGCAAAAGGGGTAATATTTTATTCATATTCTCAGTATTTTTTGTTATTTTGTGGCTATTTTTAAATAGAAGGGAAGCAATCAAATTGCTTACAGTTCCCCACCAACTACTGTGGGGCTGTGATATAGCGGAGCCGATATAATACAGCATCTGTACACGTCAAGCCCACTCCCAGTGTCCCTGTCACATGGACAAACTCCAGTCTAACGAGCAGCCTCGGCTGCCGAGCCAGGATCCTTGGTGGCTTCCACCGATGAGGTAGCCTCAGCAGGTGTCTCTTCGGGAGGTTTGAGGGTGGCCGCCTCGCACTGGCCCTTACCAAGTTCTGAGACGGCCTCTACCTTCCCCACTTGGCTAACGGCAGGCTCCAGGGTTTTGTTGCTGCCGGCCCTGTCTGTCACCTCGGACTTCTCCTTCCCCCGGTTTTCTTCCTTCTCTCTACGAGACTCCCTATCTCTGGTGTCTCTCTCTCTGTCTCGATGCCCACCAGAGCGTCTACTTCTGTCTTCCAAGTCTCTGTGCCTGTCCCGGTCAGGGCTCCTCCTTCCCCACTCTCTCCTCTCACGGTTACTCTCTCTCTCGTCGTTACGGCTCCCATACCGATCCCGGTCATTTTCCACCCTATTTCCGAAAGATCTTCTTCCGAATCTTTCTTGGTCTCTACCCGAATTAAATTGCTGCTGCTGCCTGCTATCATTCCTAAACTGCTGCTGTTGCTGCGGCTGCTGCGCTGGGGGCGGCTGCTGTGCAGGTGGCGGGGGCTGGGGCTGGGGTGGAGGCGGCTGCTGCTGCTGCTGCTGCTGCCTCCCATCTCGGTCTTCAGGACCCCCTTGGCCCGAGCCCCCTGGCCCTGGCATCCCTCCAGGCCTAACGAAGGGGCCATGGGGTGGGAAGGGGCCTTTCATTCCATGAGGTGGAGGCATTGCAAAGCCCCCTGGTCCCGGGGGTGGGCCTCGGGGCATCATGTGGGGTGGCATGGGGCGAGGTGGCATCATAGGAAACCGCTGTAAGTGAGGTGGTGGCATCCCTGGAGGGCGCTGCAGCGGGATCATGCCAGGGCGGGCACCGAGCAGACCAGTCGATGGTGCCTGGAGCCCCATCACGGGACCAGGTGCAACTCCTTGCGTCCCTACAAGACAACAGAAGCAAACATGTCAATGCCAGTGCAGAATTCCAGTCCACTTGTACTTTCCAGTGGAGGAGCTCAAATGAAAACAAAATGTGTTCGTCTCTTCCCATCTCATTATTTGCCGATCTGTCATCGAACCAGTGTGAGGGTCCAGTAATGGCCCCAGATTCATTTTTTTAAAAGATTTTTATTGGAAAGTCAGATTACAGAGAGGGGACACAGAAAGATCTTCCGTCCGATGATTCACTCCCCAAGTGAGCGCAATGGTCGGCGCTGCGCTGATCCAAAGCTGGGAACCAGGAATTTCTTCCAGGTTTCCCCTTGCGGGTGCAGGGTCCCAAGGCTTTGGGCTGTCCTCAACTGCTTTCCCAGGTCACAAGCAGGGAGCTGGATGGGAAGTGGAGCTGCCGGGATTAGAACTGGTGCCTATATGGGATCCCAGCGCGTGCGAGGACATTAGCCACTAGGCCATGCCGCCGGGCCCCCCAGACTCATTTTTAAAGTACCTTCTAAAGACAGAGGCAACAGTTTTCAAAAAGAGTAAGTCAAACTGTCCTGCAGCTTTCCTTACCTGCCCCAAACATCTGACACACCTGAGAAACAGTGTGTTAGAGGTCCCTAGGGGAAAAAAGGCCAGCAGGAACCGAGCCGACTGAAGGGTGTTCTCTCCACACTCCTACAACCTGTACACTCTAGGTCTGCACTGCCTGCAGTGGCTCTACCGGCTACGCTGGCAGCTGGTAACTCATTCCAGGGTTCCTATGCAGAGGGCAGGCACTTCACACTTGAATTCACCCCCAGGGTCCGTAAGAAGCTGGAATGACTAAGGCTGGGAACCGAACCAGGAACTTACGCTATGTGAGCATTCTGAACAGCAGTAGCTCTGAATTGGCTGGCCAAATGCCCACCTTTGATTTCACGTCTCACCTTTACTTCCTAATAGAAAAATTAAGCTCTTGAGCTAGAAAGCCCAGAAAGGAGGGAGGAGTGACTCCATGCTGCACTCAGTCCGTTATCAAGCGACACATGTAGTTACTATGCATCACTTAAGATGAACATGATAAAAAAACAAAAAACCCCTCCATGCCAACGTGACAGATCCTTTTAGCACACAGCACTACCTGCATGCAGCCTGCAAGGCCAATGTGACTGCAGAATAATACAGACAGTCCATGCATTTACTTTCGATTCATTCTTTAAAGCTAAACAGTGATGTACTGGTCTTCCCTTCCTGTTTCCACAAGGCTTTTGCTCATTTAGCATAAGCTCAACAACCTGTCATTAACTACAGAATTGCTGCGGTTTACCCCTTACATAACACAAAGGTGTCAACGTCTGTTTGTCCCCTTTACTGATAAGACTAATACAAAGACCCAAAGGAGAGACTCTGGTCATTTCAAATGCTCCAGATATTCTTGGAAGGTGCTCCACATGCAGGTGAGCAGATGGGGCTCTGGGCTCAGGCAGCAACCACTTTCATCTGCCCTAGCTTCTTCCACTGGGATTTTGGGACTTCCTACCTCCTGATGTAGTGAACAAGTCCTGTTTACTTCTGGAGTTTCTGGATAAACAATTTGTATTACTTCGATAAACAAGACTATTTCAGTTTTGCTGCTCATAATATATATATATATAGTTCAATATTATTCTGTCAGATGTAACCACTAACATTCCTGAAGAATAACTGTGTACCAGCTTTTAACTTCAGCAGGATTCACCAGCTTGGCAATTAATTAAACATTTATCTTCTTAAAAGCCAAAGTATGTTTGAAGTCTAACCTCACTAGGGGATAATCCCGGGCACATGCCTCACTCATGTGGCTCAGGAAGTGGTGATAGTTAAAATGCCCGTCACTTGTTGGGATCACAGGCTGAAATCCCTCAGACTAAGCTCCGTGTGCGGCTTGACGAACTGCTGCAGCACACATCCGTTTAGAAAGGTGGTCTGTATTCTGCACTAACAACTTGATTTTGCAAAAACAAGTAACATTTTTCATTTGATTATTAGCAGGTCAGCACCTCCAGCTACACCAATAACTAGCATACTTTAAAGTCAAGGCTTGTAAGCCTGGCATGGTGGCCTAACAGTGGTTAAAGTCCCTGCCTTGCATGCACTGGGATACTATACGGGTGCTAGTTCTAATCCTGGCAGCCCTAAATTCCTATCCAGCTCCCTGCTTGTGGCCTGGGAAAGCAGTCGAAGATGGCCCAAAGCCTTGGGAACCTGCACCCACATGCGAGACCCGGAGGAGGCTCTTGGCTCCTGGCTCTGGATCAGCGCAGCTCTGGCCCCTGCGGTTGCTTGGGGGGTGAATCATCACACGAAAGATCTTCCTTTCTCTCTCTCTCTGTATATCTGACTTTGCAATAAAAATAAATAAGTCTTAAAAACAAAAAAAGTCAAGCCTTTTGGCAGCTGGGAAAACCATAAAGCCACTGAGCAGTCAAATGTCAGGTTCAAGGTTGAGAACTACTAATTACTGAAGCACAATGCTGGACACCAAGGAAACAGCTCCAGCCCAGGACACTCTCTAGACCGTGGTCAGGAAACTCCCTTGGATGGTCACAGCAGCTAAGACAGGTCCTTGCTCCCATTTTTTTTTTTTAAAGGGAATCAAGTCCCAATATCCATGGACTTTAACCAATGAGACACTGTACACGCCAGGTACAACCTCTTTTACTAGCAGTCCCAACAATACTTCATTTTCCCATTAATTTTTACTTGGAAAGAATTGTTCTCCAGAAATAAGATAAACAATAGCATATATCCTACTACAAAGGCCAGTGCAGCTCATCCTGGCACCTCCCTACAGGCTACGGGGGCAAGGCTCCTGTCCTTTTTAAATAATGCAAGAAAAAGATGGGGTAGAGAAATTGAACGCATCTTACAACAGAACTGAGTTCAGATGGTTATTCAAAAGCAAACAGCGACTTGGGCAGGGCAATGGGAAAGTAGCAGCCCATCTTTGTCAGGACAAGCTTGAGGGTATTGCAGATCGGTTTTACAGGGTTAAACATTAGAATCACATGCTTGAACCTTCTATAAAGCATTACAATTTTCACAAAGAAAGAAAAACTATTTTGGGACTTGCTGAAAATATTCTGCACTCAAAAATCATTTGCACTGTAAACACTTGAAAGATTTATCAGCCTAGATTTCCTTTCAATCCTTTGTGGACACCAGAACTTACACAATTCTCTGACAGGATATTCTCCTATTTTCAACAGGCCCTTAACCACAAAGACTGAACTTGGGGGCCAGCGATGTGAACATGTGAGTGCCAGTTCAAGTTCTGGCTCAAATGTTACACTCTTGATCCAGCTCTCTGAAGATATACTTGGGAGAGCAGTGAAAGATGGCCCAAGAGCTTGAGCTCCTGCACCCACATGGCAGACAAATTATGAAAAATAAGCTACATAAATAGAAACAATATTGGATTACAGATAGAGAAGACATTAATTATCTGAGTCAACAGTGATGTAAATGAGTAAAGACCTAAGGGAATCACTTTTTAAAACTAGGGATTTATCTGTAATCCCTTTTCACCCTTCTTTTGTAGTAAGCATGTATTACTTCTCTAATTAAAGTTAATATTTAATTAAATATGTATCAGGTAGCAGAAGCCTTTGGCACTAAAGCTAGCTGAAATATTAGGGAAGCTGGCATTACATAAGTATCAGTGGAATTCAGCGAGTTACCCAGTCAAAAGGGCATTCAAAGTAATTTTCCAGTTTATCTGGAGGTAAAATGTGTAATAAAAATTCATGTTTTTAAGTCCACACTACTGACTTAACAAGCTGCAAAAACCCTGGTTGTTCTCTTCAGAGGCAGTCTAGTAAAAGTGGATTCCAGATGTTGTAGGAGACAGTAGACTATGACAACCACACAAAGGCAGAAGCAATGCAAGGTGCTGTGTCATCCGAGGGGAGCTGGGTCTCAGAGGAAAAGGGCTCACATCCCGGAGTAAGACAAGTACAGACGAACTTGACCACCACCAGAGTGGCTTTGGAAAAGGTTGTACAAGGCGAAAGGTATTCAGAAAAACAATAGAATGACTTGCTGAAGACTGGGGGGCCAAGCACAGAGGCCAGGGCTGCTCTGGCTGATGTGGTGGGTTGAGCTGTGCCTGCCTGAACCATCCTGTTTCCCAGAGTAGTGTGCAGCCAGCCAATGAGGGGGAGGAGTCTGGACAGTAGCTGGGTTCTTCCTCCAGCCGCTCGCACGAAGCACCGGGGCTGCGAGGTGTGAGGTGGGCAGGACCGAACGGCTGGAGGCGCCAAGTGTCACATGACCATGCAGAATCACAGGGGCTTGGGCTGCCAGGTGCTTACAACAGCTGTGTGTCAAATCACCCAGTGCATCCACAAAACCCAAAAGCTCAGACCTGGGAAACATGGGATAGAAGACTCGGACATTCCTAATACAGCAAGGCTTAAGGCAGACCAAAAGGAACAGCCCCAAATGTCCAAAATTCAACTCTGAAGTTTAATACACTCAAAATTACATTGCTCATAATGATGCCCACATCCCTCACCCCCCACCCCCAAAATTCAGAAATAAAACCTAGTAGAGGGAGGAGTGGCAATTTAGCCTACTGGTTAGCCTACCTGCACCACGCTGTAGCTCCAGCTACTGAGCCTAGCCTCCTGTTAATACAGATGTGGTGGGAGTGATGAATTCAGTGACTGAGGGTTCTTGCCATCTGAAAGGGAAACCTACCGTTTCCTCTGCTTCAGCAGGTTTTGAGAATGAACCAGTGCTTGGCACACCCCTTCTTTCTCAAATACTTAAGATTCTAAAAGTTTGAGAGGTAAGGGTCAGGTACTGCCATCTATGGTGAAGGCAGATGGAACTATATGCATGGGCTGTGGGAGAGTGGGCTGATCTTCAGGCTGGAGTCCAATGTGGCTATGTATAGGACCAGAAGTGCTTGTGACGGGGATACAGGGAACCCGGAGGACCTTGGGAGCAGCTCCTGCGTCGGCTTGTGGACTGATTT